CTGGCGACCGCCGCGCTCGCCGTCGCCTGTTTCAGCTTAGTGCACGTCGCACTCGCGGTCACACTTATATATGCGGTACATAAGGTTCGTATTCACTCGTATAGCATCATCTTCCTTCTTAACTCTATCATACGTCATCTCAGTCCTCACTCCCTTGATCATGTCACCTTTGTCTATCTTCACCAATGTTCTACACTCATAACTAACGTTCTCCTTGTTACATGCGATTCATCTGACCTCATGACACCATGCTTATCTTACTTTTCCTACCATTAGGCTACTCTCAAACTTCCTTGCGTCATCATCAACTTGCCCTTATCTCTTGCAGAGGGTCGGCAGTATGTGCTGCTCTTTCCTACATCTCTGTCACCCGTCATATCTGAATCCACTTCTTTCTTAAGCATATCCTCTTTCACACAATCTATCCATACTTCCATACTTTCGTCGATCTTCCTCTACCTTTGTAGCCATTCACATTCAATCTTAACACTTTCTTGTTCATGTCCCCATCGTCTCGTCGCAGAACATATCACGATAACCTATTGCTTCTCAATTTCTCCACCATTCCACCACACATGTACACATTCTTGATTTTATCCATTCTTGTCATACGCATCCATCTTAACATAGGCATTTCAGCCACATCTACAAGTCTATCAGGTGTTATGATAGACTTGTAGATCTGTGCCTTACTCTCGAAGTCCTTTACGTGTTTGCTGTATATTGTGGTGTGTGGTGTGTGGTGTGTGCGCGCAGCGGCGGGGGTGCGCGGTGCGCGCGTGGGCGCTGGTGATGTGCGTGCTGTGCGCGGGCGCGCTGCTGTTCGTGGTGGTGTCGGCGGCCAGCTCGCGCCCGCACGCCACCGGCTCTGACATCTTCCTCGCCTTCCTCGAATGTGTCCTCTTCTTTGGTAAGTCTTATGTGCAAAAATATAAAACACAACTAAATACTCATATATTAAAGCGTTAACACACTACCTAGTTATGTAAAACTAGCCGTTCCCTGCGGCTTCATCCGCATGTAATTTTGAAAATTTTATTTCATTGTTTACATTTGACAAATCAATTGCTTATGTCTACCTGACATGACATTACAAACCTTAGCAACCTTGCTTCCTTGATGTTGGCAGCAACTTATGGTCTCTTTCCCACATTAAGGTTTTTGTCCAATTTATTTACCCTCTAAGTTTTATTGCGTGAAAATATATAGACTAAAGCGTGACGTAAGTGTAGGGCTTTATATTAAAGAAAGAATTATTCAAAAACATGCTGTAGTTGCTGACATCTTAAGCAACAAAGAAGTGTGTGTTTACGCTTTATTATAATAGTATAGATGTCAGCAGTTAGAGTATATTTTTGAATAATCATTTTTTTTAATAAAAGGCCCTACACTTATGACACGTTTTAGGCTATAGGTGTTACAATATTAAACTTAGGGGGTTAAATAATTTGGTAAAGCCATCATACTGGAAAAGGGACAGAAACAAGCTTATAACATCAAAGAAGCGAGGTTGCCATGGTAACGGTAATTGTTATCCATTTTTTTTTTAATTTGATGCGGATGTAATCGCACGGGAACAGCTTGTTTACTAATTGTGGGTATTAGTAAAGAAATCGTGTATACCGCATGTGGCAGGCGCTGTGCTGTACTGCATCCTGTGCGTGCACAGCTACTACCTGGTGCTGCGCTCCGCCGGCGACATGCAGGCTCCCCCCAAACATGACTACTGACTGTGACTGCCCCCCACCACTATACTATTCAACACATATAAGATAATTTCTATAGTAACTTGTTCACGACCAAAGAGATTCAAAAAATATATACACGAAGCATAGTTGACACTTCACTTGAGATATTTTTCACATGATCTACAAAATTACATGACAATCAATATATTTAATTATGTTCATTATATTAGAAATGAATTGCCAATATAACTAAATTATACTTCATACTTTTAAACAACTAATGTAATTTTAACTAGCCATATTAATTTAAACACTAGACTAGAGAACTCGTCAGAATGGCGCGCTAATCAATCCTCCCAAAGACAGTGACAGCTGTCAGTTAGAGATGTGACGTTTATGCCAATAAACTAGTGTTGCGCCAATTCCACAGCGCTGTACTAATTTTCTTAACAATACTAATATTTAAAAATGCGAAAGTTTGGATGGATGGATGTTTGTAAGAGTTTGTAGCCTAAACGGCTGAACGGATTTCAATTAATTTTGGTATAGATGTAAAGGATAATCTGGATGAACTCGTAGGCTACTCACTTTAGTTGTTTTTATTCCATGCGGACCGAGTCGTGGACGAAAGCTTGTCATATGTAAATGTTTATATATGATTTAGTGACACTGTTTCGTTTATTTAATAACAAAAGATATTATTATAATTTTGTAAAATGTTTTATAACAAGGACACGGTGGCACTAAACTTGACAACTAATATAATACATTTCAAAGAAGTTCCGGTGAAAAAATGTTCACTATGACTAGTCTATATATTTCTTAAATGTCTTTGTTGTCGGACCCCCCACCGTCTACCGACCCCCCGCAGTACCAACCCCCCCAAATGTTACAATACAGTTGCTGTATTAACGTGTTTTTGAGCCAGTGCTTTATTGATGTTAACGTAAGACAAATTTTATTTTAAGTTGAAGTGTGAAATGGCTTGTAAAATCAATGCCACATTCTAGTACAATTATGTACATGTTTTACAGGTTTTTTCGAACTTTTTGTAATCCTTTAACGAACAAATTAGAATCTCCAAGGTGCTATTGTTTTGGATTTAAATACCTGATTTTATTTAAAAAAAAATTGACTTTTTTTATATTTTTTATTGATGACGATAATACTAAAGTCTTATGAATGTAGTTTTGCCAAATATTTTGCATTTATTGTGCTTTATAAAGTTTTACGACAAATTTATTGTATTTTTGTAAGCTTTACGATGCGATGTTGTTAACATACATTGCGTTGCAAATAACAATGTAACAATATTGTTAATTTGTTAAAAATCTATGGAAAGTATTGACAAAAATGCACAAAATAGTATTTTTTGCTTTCAAGCGCCGAAAATTGTGACCTATGACGTCACAATATGGTGGTCACAATTGTTATTTGCAATGCATTGTATCCGTTGTTGTAGATGTTTGTAGATTTTTAAGTGTTTGTTATAAGGATACTAGGTTTAAGATGGTTTAATTTTGCTTTACAACTTTATTCCTACCTTTTAAACTGCAGAGGGATATTTTTTTATTTAAAATCAATCGAAAAAAATGGTTTGTTATTTTAAGTTTCGAATTTTTATTAAATTTTTTCTCTATAATTATCAGAGAAATAACTTTACGAATCATTTAAACGACCATTGTTTGTCTTCTAATTGTTTTAAATCGGAATTAAAACTGTTATTTCAAGTAAATTTATATTTTTTTATTCTAATGGTGTTTTGAATACAAAAAAAACTGCCACAATTCAATATATAAAATTGATAAATATTAGATAATGTATATTTACAGAAAGAGAGCGGCCAATATTTACATAAATGCTATTGTTATATACGTTGATTTAATTTTGAACTTATTCTGAATGTTGTCATTTTATTAATAGAAATTGTTGCCATGTATACATATATTAATAATAAATATTTACATTGCCTTAGTGAGTTGTTTTATTATATCCTGTCTAAAAACTTTACTGTAGATAGTAAAAAACTGCTTAGCAAAATCGGAAAATTAAATACTAATTTGATACACTAGGAATCAACAGGCTTATCAACGATTAAAGATTTCTTTTTTTTATAATGTAAGGTGGTAAACGAGCAAGTGGCTACCTAAAACCACCGAAATAGAAAGCGACCGCTGCCTATAGACATCCGCAATTGCAGATGCGTTGCCTACCCTTCATTGACGGAGGAGACGCACATAAAGAGGACGTTTCCTATGCGTCTCCTTCACCGTCAAAACCATCTTTTTCTTCCATCCTTTCCTCTTAAGCAAATGGTGGAAAGGGATTAAAAATAGGTCTCCGGCACCACACTCATCAGACTGTACGCGAAATTGCTTCCACTTGACGCTTGTTTTCTGTGTGGTCGTGGTATTACTGGCGGCGAGCCCTACAGTGCGAAGATGTTAAAGCGAACTCTACCACTGTTAAACTGTTCTCTGAGTGAGTATTTTAAAAATTCCTTGCCAGTATATTAAGGATAAGGTAAAAGTAAGTAAAAAGGTAGATCAGATTTTCACAGTTTGTTTAATCATCGAAATGCATCTTTGTTTGTCTTAAATTCCGTTTAATTCAATAAATATATTACAAGTCAATAGATATTAAGTACAAGTAAGTACGGCGTTGCTTATCTTACTATACACTTTAGCTTGAAACTACAATATACACTATCAGAGCAAAACATCACAAAACTCGCTCGCTTATTTAACTTAACTCCTTTTTGATGGCAAAAGAAAATAACTGTTTCGTTTTTTCAATTTTTTCAAGCATAATGTTTATAGATTTATCGATTTCTATATTAAAACACAGCCAAGACTTGCAAGAACTTAAATAATAGTGAATTTTTACTTAAAAATTATATTAATTAGGCCAAAGATTAATTCACGAAGAAATTGTTTCATTGATTATACTTTGTTTAATTTCATTTCAACTCTTTTAAAGAGATCAAGTCTTTTGGAATGTTTCGATGTATTTATTCGTTTTATTAGTTTCTTCACAAAAAGTTACAAATGTTTTTTTGGATTTATTAGTACCATATGTCTTCAATTTTTAGTACCAACTTCAGGATCTCTAATTTGTTTTGTTGAAAGTAATAAATTTAAGTAAAGAATCCTTTAGATGTCAAACACAAGCTACATTTATGTTGCAGTTAATTTATTTTAAATATCTGCGTCTACAGTCATAATAAAATAGTCACATTGCATCTAATATTATAATTTTACAGAGAAATGTACATGTTCAATTCGTCGAAAGTCACCGGATAATTTACAAGATGTTAATCTTTGATAGGCAAACCTATACTTATATAATAACTAAATTTAGTACCGATCCAACTACGCTAGTTACATTTACATGCCATAATGACGAAAACTTAGAGCTCGCACGAAAAGGTCACGAAATAAACAACCCATCACAATATAAATTTAAATTAGTGACATTGTAAATAATATTAATATTGATAGACCAAAGAGGTGACTACATATTTAATACAGAAGAATACAAACTCTAAATTATTAAAACCAAAACTATTATAGTCAAATTAGGCCAAAAATATTGTTAGTGTAATAACTCGAAGCGAACAAATCACAGTCACTTGTCATACTGCCAGTTTGTCGCAGGTTGTTTACTCTGTGCACAGTACGTTGCGGCTGAACTTTGTACATCGCTAACACAACTGCCTAAACGCATAAATACTTAACTAAACGTATTGCACGACGAGTGAGATGTGCGCGTCCCCCGCGCGCCCCCCGCGCGCCCGCGGCCACGCGCACCTAACCTAACTTATAAATATCAATTAGGCGACACAAACATTTCAACTAGTCCCACAATTTTTTATGAAATATATAGATTTACACTTTATTAAGTTCCTCTATAGCATCTTCAATACAAATATTACTTTTTCACTTGAATTACCGCTACTTGACCGCACGGACACTGGGGTGCCAGTGCACACCGAAGTAACAGAAGTTTGACTTCTCGTCTTCTGAACCAACCGCTTTAAGTACATTCAGATCACATTTTATTGGTAAACGAAGGAGATTTTCATAAAAATATGACATTGTATGGACAGCTCAATTTTGGCGTTGCACCATCGCGAAATGATGAGTTGATGTTCCCAACGAAAACGAATAATAGTGAAAGTCTTTGTATCGTTTCTCTTTCCGGTTCAGATTCTCTCTTCAGTGTGGCAGGGTGTGTGCGGGGTGTGCGGGGTGTGCGGGGTGCGCGGCGGGCGGTCAGTAGAGGCGCGCGGGGGGCGGCGGCTCCGTACCCACGTCGATGTCCAGCGGGCCCTCGTCCTCGCTGCCGGCGCCCGCGCACGCGCCCCCCAGCGCACCCCCCATGGCCGCCCCCGCGCCCGCCATCGCCGCCGCGCCCGCCCGCTGCAGACCTCGCACCTGAATGGCAAAAACTCATGTTAGAAACTAATTCAGAAGCAGGGAAATGCACAGCTATTAATAATGTCAGTTAGCAACAATAATTTGTAACATTTCAGTAGCAATGGCAATGTAAATAAATTGTTAGTCACTACAATAACACGATGCGTAAATAACATAATTTTGCAGCGACAAGATTAAGCTTAAGAGAAAAACATTGTGAACTATCTGGTCTCAAAGTTAATTATATTTAACTAGCTTTCACCCGCAACTCCGCCTGCGTACCATTGAAGAAAAATAAAAGTAAGTAGCCTATGTGTTCTTCCAGACTGACCTTTAAATCTGTGCTAAATTTTATTGAGGTCCATTCAGGCGTTTAGGCTAAAAATTCTAATAAACATCCATCCATCTAATCTTTCGTTTTATTAGTAAGAAAACTCATAATTATAATTAATATATAATAACTCCCCAACAACAAATTATTAAACGAGAATCGTTTAAACACGATAGGAAAGCGTAAGTCGCACCACAACCTCCTTGTTAATGAACAGTTGCCAGTCATAGTGTACCTGGAGCCGCCAGTCCTCGTGCAGCCGCCGGCTGTGCTGCTCCAAGACCTTGAACTGAAATACGGAGCGGTGGG